ATCTGTTTGTATTCTGTGACAGACAAGTTGGAAATGCTTACTATTTATAGATCAACTGGCACTACTATTAAAATATTAAAACAATTAAATATTTCTTTTGTAAAGTTAGACCTATAGATTCAGGATTATACTTGAAGAGATAAAACAAAGTGTTTAGTAACTGTGGCAACAGGTCCTATACCTTATCACAAAAGAGATTCTTCGAGATAGCATTAGTATATTTAAATAATCTTAGGTTTATATAATCAGGAATGGCTCCCTTCCCTGGGCTAGAGTTGATTTTTTTTTTTTAAGATTTTATTATTTATTTTATTTGACAGAGAGAAAGAGACAGAGAGAGAGGGAACACAAGCAGGGGAAGTGGGAGAGGGAGAAGCAGGCTTCCCGCTGAGCAGGGAGCCCGATGCGGGGCTCGATCCCAGGACCCTGGGATCATGACCTGAGCTGAAGGTAGCCGCTTAACAACTGAGCCACCCAGGCGCCCCTAGACTTAACTGATCTTTTAAAAATAACATGAAAGTTTTAGAAAATCAAGATATAAAAGATCAAAGGGTTATTTTACTGTCTCCTTTATTTGGTACCCAAGGACAATATTCCTACTGCTAATGAACTTTTTTTCTTTCAAGAATCTAAGCAAAAAAAAAAAAAAAAAAGAATCTAAGCAGTTCAGGAATGCTACTCATCATCTGCCCTGGGGGTGGACATATAGCAACTCCTGTAACACACAGACCAACCCTGTGAGAAACACCGGAAAACTCGTTGAAAGGAGGAGTCCTAATCCTCTCAAACGGGGGATCTTCATCAGAGCAAGAGCTCACTGCTCTCAGAAATTTCCTTACACTACCAGACAGCCTTCTGTTTGCTTTCATTTGTGCACTAGTCCCCCAAACATTTACTCAGTACAATCATGTACACTATGCTGAGTGCTTGTGATAATATGGTGAACAAGCCAAGGTCCCTGCTCTTAGAGCATTTACGTTCTAATGTTGAGAGAAAAAACAATAAAAAAGGAAACAAAACAAACTGGATTTCAGATACACAAATGTCACTGGACAGAGGAGGGCTGATTTAGATTGGGTAGTGGTGTTCCAGCTGAGATCCAAATGACAGGTCAGCCAGGAGAAAAACTGAGGGACAAAGTATTCCAGGCAGAGAAAACGTCTTGAGGCAGCAAAATAGATTTGGGGTGTTTACAGACACAAAGAAGTGTGGCTGGAACATGGTGAATGCGGGGAGAGAGAAATAGTAGACGAAGTTCAAGAAGCAGGCAGGGTCTAGTTGACCTAGGGTCTTAGGGGCCATGGTGAGGAGCTTGGATTTTGCTTGATGTTATTTCATATATCCTGACTATTCTCAGGAGACCTGTGTTTGCCTTTTGCCTTATCTCTTACCTTTCACTTCCTGAGACTGGGCTTTCTGCTTTTCCATTTTCCCTAGTTTTCTGCCTCTGCCTTCAACTCTGCTTATCCCAGGAAGGCTGACATGGCTTTAGCCTGAATTATGTTAAAATGTCATTCCATCTATTTGGAGCAAAGGGCCCTTTTAAAAGGAGGCTCTTACGTGACTGCGCAGGTCACCTATCCACAAAGCTGGCCCTGATCTTAATAAATACTACTTTTAAAAAATGCCTTGTATGGATGAATGATTTCTGCTTTCATTTCACCTGGTCTGTGAATATAAAAATATATATATAAACTTTTTCAAGATCTTTTAAATAAAGTAACTCCTTAAACATGTGGCTTAAAGGAAGCTGCCAGGAAATAAGAAACTAGGATATCAAGACTTACTGAGACAACTTCATGATGTCACTGCAATCACTGAAATCTGTGATTACCCCGCTTATTCTCAAACTATAATTCACTTGCTCTTACTATTTATTGAGATGCATTATTCTTCCTCTTTTAGGTATAAGGAGATTATTAAAATATATAGCAGCCAAATAAACAGTTGTTAGTACTGTTGGAATAATTGCTAGATGTTTCACATTGCCAAATGGATCTAGTTTTATTAGGCAAATAGCTAAGAAATGCAGCTCAGTGACTAACACATTAAGATTTAAGTAGCAATTTCCTTAATTTATATTATGCATTAAAAATACTAAAAAATGTAATTACAAATCATAAATCAAATTTTTAAAATGATACATCTTTATAATCTTTAAGTTTTCAGAAAGCCTGAGAACCAATAATCAGATAAGAAAATATGTGACTATCAGGGCGCCTGGGTGGCTCAGTCGTTAAGCGTCTGCCTTCGGCTCAGGTCATGATCCCAGGGTCCTGGGATCGAGCCCCACATCAGGCTCCCTGCCCCGCGGGAAGCCTGCTTCTCCCTCTCCCACTCCCCCTGCTTGTGTTCCCTCTCTCGCTGTGACTCTCTCTGTCAAATAAATAAATAAAATCTTTAAAAAAAACACAACAACAACCAATTTTACCTATTATGTAAAACTGGACATGGTCATAGCTAACTAGGAAGTGTTCACAAGGTTTAATTACTTACTGCTAAAGCATGATATTATAAATTAAAGATGCCAAGTCTGAAATGTGAGTCCAGCCCCTAATATTTTATGTTTGTAATCAACATCTCTACCTGCAGAAAAGGGTTGTACTAACCTTGCCCTGAGGTGCTCCTATTCCATTCACAGAACTCATTACTGAGCATTAGTTACCATAATGATTTACGCAATATTACAAGTATACTCAGACTCAAGAAAATTATAGCTAACACCATTTTACTGCTATCAAGATTACTATACCTTGGAAAGGAATAGTTTCATTTGCAATTACAAAACAAAATAACAGATGCCAAGACAAAGACACTATTACTGACACACACATTTACACCGCTATCTGTTGCTACATGGAAGGGGTATCTGGAGGAAAAAAATGGTTAAGGGAATGTATTGTTGGTTTCAGCGACACTTACATTTGCATGAGGTCTGAGTCTATGCTGTTAAACTCAATATATGACAGATCTTGTCCTGAAAAAGCTGACAATCTGGTATAAGAACTAAGGTAGATACAGATGAAAAAAATTTTCAAACATTAAACAATACAAATAAATCTGTAGAATCAAAGCATCTTGGTTTTTGTGCCAGAGTAGGAAAGAGTCAGAAGATACTTGGATCTTACCGGCTTCGCAATTTTCTGGCGCTGACCACAAGTTAATCAATTACTCATACTCACTCAAGGTGACCACGATTACTCACCTCAACTGCCTCCTAACTGCTCTACTTCCATTTTTGCCTCCCTCCCTTTAATGTGTTCTCCACAACATAACCAAGGTCTTTTAAAAAATGTGAATCAGATCATATCACTTGAATGCTTCTACCTAAACTCTGTAGTAGCTTCCTATTACTTTTAGAATAAAATCCAAACCCTTGGACATGGCTTAAAAGGCTCTGTATTATCTGGCCCCTAATATACTTGTTTTGACCTTATTTCCTACTACTTTCCTCCCTGTTTACTACGCTGGGAACACAGCAGCCTCATTTTTGTTCTTCAATGCTATCTAGCTCTTACTTGCCTCTGAGCCTCTGCATGGCTTGGAATTGTCACTGTGCAAGTAGGTTCCTATCATCATTCAGGACTAGGCTCAAATGGCATATCTTCAGAGAAAGACTTCACTACCCCTTCTCATTATTATTCTCAATCACACTGTCCTATTCTATTGTCTCATTGTACTGATTGTTATCTGAAATTCTCTCATTTATATATCTGTTACTTGATTATCTCCAGAGTCCCCCAGTAAAAAGTACACTTCAGAAGAGAAGTGATCGTGTTTGCCTTTCTCTGTGCTGTAGCCCCAGTAGGTTGAACAAGGTCTGGCCCATGCAAAAGTGCATTAAATAAATTAAATGTTTTTTTTTTTAAAGTTTTATTTATTTATTTATTTATTTATTTATTTGACAGCGAGAGAGAGAAAGCACAAGCAGGGGCAGCTGCAGGCAGAGGGAGAAAGAGAAGCAGGCTCCCCACTGAGCAGAGAGCCTGACATGGGGCTCGATCCCAGGACTCTGAGATCATGACCTGAGCCAAAGGCAGTTGTTTAACGGACTGAGCCACCCAGGTGCCCCAAATGTTTTTTTATTAAATAAATGTTATTTATGTATGTCTCAGGCTTTCAGTCTCCTGCACCAGTCATTAGAATTATAGGGGGGGGGGGGATAATTATACCTGCACCAGTCATTAGAAATAGAACCTAATGTTTACTAAATTTTTACTCTATCTCAGGCAAAGTGGAAATCACTTTATAAGCATATTCTCATTTACTACTACAATTTCCATTTTACAAATAAGGCCACTGCTTCTTACAGTGGTGAAATAACTGGCCTAAGGACACAAGGCGATAGTGGGATGCGGGCATGATCCCAGAGCTGCCAAACCTCAGAATGGGGGCTTTTCTCCACTCCTTTATACTTTCTAGAAGTTTGTTTCCTTCCACTACAGCAAAATAGGCTGTGCCGTCTGATCCCCTCAGGTCCTACTTTGTCCTGTGGGTCAAGCGCAGAAAGGTATTACATCCCCCACAGGGTTCTTTTCCAAGACGAACATCCCCATTTCTTTCAATTCTTTCTTAAAGCATCTTCATGTCTTGGTCACTCTCCTCTGGACAAACTCGTTTGACAACGTCTCTCTGCTCCAGACCTGGTCATTTTAACTGGACAGATGGTTAAGGGGCATCAGAGAAGTGGAAGCCGATGCCCAGCGGCTGAGAAAATGCAGACGCGTGAGTATTGTTGTGCGCTGTGGTGAACACAGGCAGGCTTCCTGGAAGAGGTGATCCCTCCGCTTAAGTCCCAGGCAGTAAGCAGCGGCCGGCCGCTGAAGGCCGCTAGGTCGAGACAAAGGGTGGCGGAGTGGGTTTAGGAAGACCAGGGACACAAGCTCAAATGATGATGTGCTTGCATCCCGCGGAGCGCACGGCGTTTCCCTAAAAGTAACTTTGAATAGGCACTGGAGGGAAGCAAAGTGGAACAGTCATGAACCAAAACGCGAACTTACCCGTAATCTGGCAACCCGGCCTCCGTAGCCCGACTGCAAGCGCCTCCACCTGAGGAGCCCTGTAGCCGGAGCAGCTGCAAGCTCCTCCCAGTTGTCGCGAGACTGGCTAGCATCGCGAGACCTGTCCGCTTGTCCCCGGCGGCCGGAGCCCTCTCCCGGCGGCATGGGTGGGCTCTGGCCTCCGGTTTGGAGGCGTGTAGTTTTCTGTCGCTGGCGCTGGAACCACCCTGGGTCCCCGACCAGGATTGCCGAGAGGGTAGAGCCGTGTCTCAGGCCGGGAAGGAGTGGGACAGGAAGTGCTGAGAGGGGGCAGAGGCGGCTTGGGACATGGAGGTGCTCGAACCCTGGCCGGGAGCTGGCCCTGCAGCCGTCAAGGCGGCCGAAGAGCACGAACCCTTTCACGCGCGCGCAGGAGGAAGACTGGCGGCGTCGGAACAAGACGGTCCTCACGTACGTGGCCGCGGCCGCCGTGGGCATGCTGGGGGCGTCCTACGCCGCCGTGCCCCTTTATCGGCTCTATTGCCAGGTAGGGGCCGGTGCTGCCTCCTGGGCGGTGTCATCAGGAGGGGCGGAGGTGCAGTACAGGTCCCTGGATAGCGATCGCTCCTCCGTGTCGTGTTGAAGGGTCTGAGGTTGGCTACCAGAGAGGAAACAGGCTTTAAAAAGTACTTGCCCAAGCTTACCAGAAGTTGTTAGTGGTAAAGCTAAGAACCCAAGCCCCTACAGCAGTCGTGCTTATACCAACCACACTTCAGAGTGGAATTCCGTATTTCTGAGCTACACCACCGAAAACGTCCGCAACCTATACTTTGCTCTCCAGCAATCTGCCTTACCCTTTGGCAGCTCACACAGGTGTTCGCTTCTGAAATATAAAGTATATTAGTACATTCCTTCTCTGAACCATGTATGGTTTATGTGCGAAGGTTAACCCTGGAAATGGGAGTATGCTTGTAAGTTGGGCTTAAACTGGGAGTATTTTTTTTTTTAAGATTTTATTTGAGAGAGAGAGAGAGCACGAGAGGGGGAAGGGGGGAGGGTCAGGGGGAGAAGAAGATTCCCCGCTGAGCAGGGAGCCCAGTGTGGGACTCGATCCCGTGACTCCAGGATCACGACCTGAGCTGAAGGCAGTCGCCCAACCAACCGAGCCACCCAGGCTCCCCAAACTGGGAGTACTTTTAATCCATACAAAGAGGCATGAGTTAGGCGTTTGGGGCTTCCCTCCACTGTTAATACATAAGTATAATCTGCTTACCCAGGACCCCTTTTAGATCAGAAACCCTAATGCAGTTCTTCAAGTGTGGTCCCACGGAGAACCACTGGCACATCACCCGGGAACTTGAATGCATGTTGTTGGGTCAAGCTCCAGAGCTACTGAATCAGAAACTCTGGGGGAGGGGCCCAGCAATCTGTGTTTAATAAGTCCCCGAGCTGATTTTGATGCAGACTAGTATTTGAGAACCATAAACAATGGCAGACTTTACGTATTTCACATATATTCTCCGTAATTCTTAAGTAGTAGTTTGCTGCTTTGGCTGGGCATTAGGTTTACTAGTTGAGCTGCTTTAATAAACATGTTAGGGCTCCCTCACCCCAGAGATTCTGATTAGGTCTGGGAGAGGGCCAGGAATTTGTTTAAGAAACATAAGTGAGACCTATATTCACTTCATTCACTAAGTGTTTGAGAGTGGTTCTCCCAACTTTGTTGTGGGGGGAAACATCTGGAGAGCTTTTCAAAATCCTGACACCCAGGTCACATCCCTAACCAATTAAATAACTCGGAGTGGGAGTCGGGCATTTGTAATTTTTTAAAGATTCGTCAGGTGATCCCAGTGTGTAGCAAAGTTTGGGAATCACTGGTTAACTGACAGTATTGCTAATGCCTGGCTTCTCCTCTCCTTTTGGAGATTAACTTGCCATTAATTTCCATAATGACTAAAACAGCAGAAGTCAAAAGGACTTGTCAGTCTCCTAATACTAGCGTTTATGGGGTATGCAGTAGCTTGATTTGGGAAGATGAATATAGAATGTGAATTAGTTTTCATCAGAGGGCAGTCTGGACCTAGCACGAATCCCCAGACTAGCAGTTGGTTAAATCATAAACAAAACTGAATCCAAAATAACAAGTATAAATCTCCACGAACCATGAGGAGGAAGGGGTCAGTTTTATTCTTCAGGCTAGGGATGCCCCTGCACAGGACAGACATTACCCCTCTCCCCACCAAAAAAAAAAAAAAAAAAAAATCCAGAAAAACCCAAAGAATTATCCAGCCCGAAATGCCATTAGTGGCAAAGTTGAGAAACCCTGTTTCACACTGAGGTGAATGACAGTATTTTGTGCATGTGTGTGCAAATGCAGGGCAGGACAATAAAAATTGTAATTTGTAATCCTAAACTTAAATCAAGTTGTGTGTTACATAGTGACATTTCCAAAGGAGCCTCTCTTTCACTTTTGGAATCACAGAACTTTAGAACCAAAAATAAGAATTATATAAACAGCTTAATACAGTGACCTCACATTTTTTGAGTATGGAAACTGTAGCCCCCTAAAAGTAAGATTTATTCAGTTTTTGGAGCTAGTTAGTGGCAGAACTAGAATAGAGCCCAGGACATATTCTCATTGCCCTTTTCTATTCTTAAGTTCTCTATCAAATTTGCAAATTTGAAGAACCTAATATTCAAAGACTGCCTGTCAGAATACATTAAGGAATCTTGATTCAAGTGACTCAAATTCCTCAAGAGTTATGTATTAAAACTTAAGCATTATAGCTCTTTTCGGCAGAAAATATACTTATTAAACAAAGATAAAGTCTTCCCCTAGCAGCTTTTAGGTTTATAATGTAATTCAGTAATGTTGCATGGCAGTTGAGTGCAGTTAGTTGACTTGTGTAATACGTGGAAGATAGTAATACTACATTTTGCTGGGAGTCTTCCCCTAGCCTCAAATTTGGTATTTTTTTCCTAGTATAGTAACAGATTAATTACCCGGAGACCAGAATTCTGGCAACCTCAAGCATCAGAAGAATGATGACCCTGGAAGTAAGGATTTTTTTTTAAACATCTCTGATGATAAGGAGATAATTAGTGGCAATGAAGATAGGCAAGAAATGTCAGACACAGATTACTCTGATGTCTTGTGATTGATTCAGTTGCCAAAGGGATCAGTTTTTCTGATTAACCAATGATATTTATAAAAGCTATACTATACAAAGTACAGAAAAAAATTAAAAAAAACACTTACCAACATGGAAAAATACTTATGATGCTTGAGAAAAGCAGAGTACAGAAGTGAAACTACCAACTAATCTATGCTATAAAAGTTACGGTATGGAAAAGGATCAGACAGGACTGTGGATAATGGAATTACTTAGTTTCATTGAAATGATAGGGTTGTGGGTAATTTTTACTTCTATTAATGACTAATAGTATATATGAAACGCTGGCAATAAGTAGAAATATGTTTAATGGAAAGTTAAGCTAAAATTCTGAGCTGTATATTATCAGTGAGGAGTCTGCTTTCTCTCAAATGACTCATTTTTTACTATGTCCAATAACCCAGTGATTACTGAAAAAATATAAGTGATTCTAATAAATATAGGCCCTTGACACCCCAAAGGTGGTCAGGCCACCGACACATTCATAAGTGATGAGTGACAGTATATAAACTGGGCTTCTACTAGATTGTTTTTAAAATTTTTTTATCCAATAAATTGTCACCTGAAAGTACTGTTTGACATACTATCCTTAATATTCTTAATATCTTTAATGCCTAGACTACTGGTCTTGGAGGATCAGCAGTAGCAGGTCATGCATCAGACCAGATTGAAAACATGTTGCCTGTTAAGGATCGAATTATTAAAGTCACCTTTAATGCAGATGTGCATGCAAGTCTCCAGTGGAATTTTAGACCGCAGCAAACAGAAATATATGTAAGTGACTGTTAAAAGATTATTTTTTCATTGTAAAAATTACTTTCTTTCATCACTTAAACTGTTAAACAATTTAGGAAACACTCATGTGAACTTAATCTCAAAATACTAAGACTCCATTAATGTAATTTTTATTTTCAGACTTTTTTAAAAATTTTATTTTATTATGTTAGTCACCATAAAATACATCATTAGTTTTTGATGTAGTGATCCACGATTCATTGTTTGCATATATCACCCAGTGAGTGCTCCATGTAGTACGTGCCCTCCTTAATACCCATGACTAGGCTAACCCATCCCCCCACCCTCCTACCCTCTAAAACCCTGTTTGTTTCTGAGTCCACAGTCTCTCATGGTTCGTCTTTCCCTCCGATTTCCCCCCCTTCATTTTTCCCTTCCTTCTCCTAATGTCCTCCATGCTCTTCCTTATGTTCCACAAATAAGTGAAACCATATAGTTGACTTTCTCTGCTTGACTTATTTCACTTAGTATAATCTCCTCCAGTCCCATCCATGTTGATATAAAAGTTGGGTATTCATCCTTTCTGATGGCTGAGTAATATTCCATTGTAGATATGGACCACATCTTCTTTATCCATTCATCTGTTGAACGGCATCTCGGCTCTTTCCACAGTTCGGCTGTTGTGGACATTGCTGCTATGAACATTGGGGTGCATATGGCCCTTCTTTGCACTACATCTGTGTCTTTGGGGTAAATACCCAGGAATGCAATTGCTGGGTCATAGGGTAGCTCTATTTTTAATTTTTTGAGGCACCTCCACGCTGTTTTCCAAAGTGGCTGTACCAACTTGCATTCCCACCAACAGTGTAAGAGGGTTCCCCTTTCTCCACAACCTCTCCAACATTTGTTGTTTCTTGCCTTGTCAATTTTTGCCATTCTAACTGGTGTAAGGTGGTATCTCAATGTGGTTTTGATTTGAATTTCCCTGATGGCTAATGATGATGAACACTTTTTAATGTGTCAGCCATTTGTATGTCTTCTTTGGAGAAGTGTCTGTTCATGTCTTTTGCCCATTTTTTGATTTGATTATTTGCTTTTTGGGTGTTGAGTTTGAGAAGTTCATTATAGATCTTGGATACCAGCCCTTTATCTGTA